AAATATACGTAGATACAGAAATATTTAAAAGAAAATATTTTATAAACTTTTAAAATAAAATTTAAATAATATATAAAATAAAATGTAAATAATATATAAAATTTTAAATTTAAATTTTTATAGGTAATAAATATTTATGAATATAAAAATGATATTCATGTTTAACCTAAATGAATATTAAAAAATATATAAATATTACTTATATCACAAATTTTATCTACCAATACTAACAAACATAAATATTTTTATTATCCTGATGAGACAATGTATGAAATTGAAGAAAAAAAGGGAAGAGGAATAAAATGTGTGCTGAGAATAAATCTTTGTTTTATCAGTTAATTTAATTTTGTTAAACTTACCAGTACATGCCTCTTTTGAATTTTGGGTTCTTATAAAAAGTGGTTTTAAAATAACATTAAAGTGAGGCGTCTAAGTGCACAATTATTGAAGTGGAAATCTTGAGTTGCCTTTATAAAATCCCTCTTTATTTGTTTATAATACCTAGCAAACCACTTTTTCAGGTGGAGTAATTGACCCTTATATATTTAATTTCTAGATTAATCTTATCACTCTATAATGCTCCTTACACACTAACTTATAAAATTATACTTTCAGTTCATTTTAATATTCGTCACACCTGTATGGCATACACATATATTTACCTAATAAAATAAAAATTTAGGCAATTAACATTCAAAGTAGATTTTGCTATCAAAAATTTACTGGTTGTAGTCTTTAATCATTTTTAAAAAAAATGTGATAAATTTTGAAAAGTTTATACATACAAGTGAGTCGTGCTAAAAAATATATCTTCATACTAAGATACGTTTCATAGTTAGATTTTATATTGTTTCAGATGTGGATTAAGAATCATAATTAATACTTCTTCATATTTTTTTCATCAATTTTATAAAGTCAATTTCAGTCTTTCATTTTCAGTCCTCTAACTAAACATGTCAGTATTTTTCAAAGACACTCAAATTAGTTATATATATTTGATTGGTTAATATAGTAAAATCTTAAATTTATAAGAAATGCAATCATATATCCTCTTTCCTTACATATATATTTATAGATATCTAAATAAATTTTTAATTAAAATTAACTGTCGAAAGGTTAATAAGTATGTTTACTGAAAAACCCTTTAGTTTACATAAATTTGGAGTTAAAAACGATCTTTTTAATATTTTTAAAAACATTGACAGTTCAAAGAATAAATTAGACAATCATATAATACATGTGTTATTAAAAAGACATAAACATGATAACTAATTTTGTTAAAGTCATAATTAATATTACCTTTGAAATAACTAAAACATAATCTATTTGACTCAATCAAAGTAGCATTTAGGAGCAATATTTGAGTACCTTAAAAAGAAATTATCGTTTTGTTTGAAAAAAACAAATGAAGAGCGTACATGTGTCATATCTAAGTGTGTAACAAAGAAAATTTTAAATTTGATATAAATCCCTGATTTTATTGACAAACAATCTCACAACTAAATTAAACAGTTGATGATATTTATAGTCTATAAACCATTTATAATGTTCATGAAGTTTAATTTTTATTTAATTTAAGATGGTGATTTTTTATTTTATCTATTGAAATTTCATTCTGAAAACATATACATAGAGAAAACAATCTCCAAGACCAATTAATATTTGTATTCAAAATAAATAAATAAATAAAACAAATTTAAAATAAGTAAAATAATATTCTTATTATTAGAACAAAAGTCACAATAGAAAAAATTATATATAAAAATAAATTCGTTTCCTACCCATTTTACTTTTTTTTAGTTGTGCAACAACATTCTTTCCTCATTTTTTTATTATTTTCTTAAAATCCAATCAATTCATAACAAAACATAAATCATTAAAAGAGTTAAAGACACCTAATCATTTACTACATAAACTGTATTATATACATAAAATATATTAAACTTCTGAATGGAAGAACAAATCACAACTTACTCATACACATAAAATTTTCAAAATCTATCTATTTCTATAATCTTGATTAAAAACTAGATGTAACGCCCGGCAACTTCTCGGAAGGTCACCCATCCCTAAATTATTCCAGATTAAACACACTTAACCATGATGTTCTTATGAGTTAGGCTACCGAAAAGCAAATGCATTTGGTGATATAAGTAGCCAAATTAATCCCTTTAAGCTATCCTTCAACTGTATAGTCTCATACCTACACAGTCTCTAGATCCCTCTCATTCCGGTGTATGTTCGATTCGTCCATGTGCCCCTTCCACTGGAAGCTTGCCAGGAACCGCTCCTTGTCTGTGTCCCTTGCACTTCATGCCTCTTGCACCGGCGTCACTTCCTGCCCTCGTCAGTGTCCAGGTGTCACACTAGATGTGTAACATTTGAGATTTAAAAGTCACGTGCAATAGTGAAAAAATTAAACTCATAATTGAATTTTCTAAATTGATTAAATGGATCTTATGTTTTAAGTAAGTTTGAGAAGGGATATAAAAAGGAAAGAGGGTATAATTAATGGATACGAAAGTGAGGCTCCCAAAAAGCTTATACAATGCATGTCGAAAGTGCTTTTGGCCAATTTTAAATTTTTACTCAAACAGATAAAGCATATATAGTTGCCAGAAACTAGCAATCATTCAGAAGACGAAGACTATTAGACTAAGCAAAACCATGTTTTTGTTATTGAATTAAGCTGCTGGACATGCAGATGGCAAATTCCAACCGAGTCGCCGCGTTCCAAATTCAGTTTAATCTAAATACGTTTCTTTTGCTTTTACAATAGTTATCCCTCTTCTTTTTCTTTTCTCTTTTAAGGCAAATTATTGGTCATAATCCATTCATCAAAAGTCGACTCTGATACAATTTAACAAAATCTCTTTGTATACTTATTCATAGTGATATGTATTATTACGATTCCAAAACGTAGAATGATATTATTAGAATTAATTATCATATATTCATATTTATTGAGTGATACTATTAAGATTAATTTCCAGATGTATTGTTCGTTTTATTATATTTTAATTTACAAGATTATTAGATGTAAAATGGTATAAACTTAAAGGATAAAATTTAATAGAATAAATAATTGATTTAATATAATAAGTATTGAAATATTTTATTCTTAGCAGAATATGAAAAATAACAGCATCTTGATAAAATAATTTTAATTTTATTATTTTTGTTGGAAATCTATTAATATTTAATTATAAAAATTAATATTAATATAAAATTAACATGAATTCTTTTAAAATTTAACTTAATTTTGAAAATTTAATTTATAAAATGAAATTTGTATTTATTTATTATGAACTAACCTTATTTCCATGGAAACGGTACTTCCCAACAATTGTTCAATTATTATATTAAGTTTAAACAAAATTAATAAAATTAAAGGCTTTTTTATAAAAAAAAAAATCACAATATTTTCTTTATTAAACAAAAACGAAACGTGTGAATATTTATTGTATTATTTCCTTCAATTGATATTTATAAACAGTATATTTTAGCATATTGAAGTTTTCTTATTAATTTACATCTTTTGTTATTTTAGAGCTTAAAATGGTAAGGGTTTAGTATGCTTTTCTTTTTGGGTTATGACAGAGGATTCATGGATCATCTGAGAATCCAGAAATAAAGGTTTGGATAACATGAAGTCTTATCCACTTGGCGGAATACATTTTTCTCAGAATCGCTTTTCTCATAAGAAAATAAAGATTATGATTCTCTTGAGAATCTAGATTAACTCTTCCTTAAGAATGTGTCTCCGTTGGTGAGTGGCAAACACACCATAATTGTTCGTAGAAAAATTAGGTTATCCAATGGGATGCTTAAAAGTGCATAATGAAGCCAACATCTACGTCTCAATATGAAATTGGAAAGAAGATGCTTATTCAGTTGCTTTGTTTTCTTCTCCAGTATTATAATTGCACTACTTTTTCACATGTGATTTCTTTTTCTGGTAACAATAATCGTGATTCATTCTTATTAACTTGTTTATCTATAATGGCAAACACAAGATTTACAGAGAAAAGCAAAGCCAAAAGGCTTCACTCTTCCATTTACTTTTTGGAAATTTATTCGTAATGAACATTTTACAACCATGATATCCATAAAAAGTAATATGTTTTCAGATGCTGTTCATCATAAAGCATTACTTTGATTAACTTTACTTAATTTTGGTTAGGATTCTGTTTTTCTTTTATCTTCCCATACATTACTCTTTTCTTTATGTTTAAAGTGTTTCTTCACGTAGTTTCTCGTTTTTCTCTTTACACTCCCACAGTTTTTTAAAATTTCAAAAATATTTCTTGCATTTCAAAACATTTTAGGTTTCACTTCTTTTCCGTTTTTATTTAAAAATTTGTTGAAGAAAAAATCTTTTAATAAATTTTAAAATTCGTTCAAAGATTTTCGAAGTTTTTAACTGATTTTGAAATTCTTTAAAAGATTTTTCAATAAATTTTGAAATTTGTTGAAGTTATTGAAAAAAGTTTTAACGAATTTTAAAATTTATTGAAGAATTTTTTTTAACAAATTTTTTAAATTCAGTCAACATTTATTAAATAATTTTTTTTTAAAACTTTAATAATTATTAAAATCTGATACTTTTAAAATGTGGAGATGCAAAATATGTGAATATCTTTTATTGGAAGCTTTATTTTATCTTCATATCTGCCTCACTGGACAGCTCCTTCATATTTCCTTTTTTTTCTAAATTATTTTCCATTAACAATGTTCTTAATTGTCTATGTTGTGCAACCTCGTTGTTTATTTTTTTCCTAAAGCATCACCGATATGATCGAACTATCGAAACATATTTTCATTGAATATCTTGATAAAATGAACTTCTGTACAATTCTGGTCTGGACTTTGTGCATGTTTGCCCAGCAGACTATGGACAGACTTCTTTGGTGCTAAAATTTTGGGTCATACAGAGTCAGTTTGAGGTTCAACTTTCTGCATTGTATAAAAATCTTCACTCATCTCCTTTCAAATCGGAATATAACAATTATATTTTGCATTCAATAACAAGGACAACATAAAGAAAATTTTAGACAAATCAGGACATGACACACAAGGGTCAAAATCATGGCCAATAGGACTTGCAAGCCCAGTGAAATAGTTCTTTCCCCACTGTTTTGAAAATTGCTCTTGTTGTTTGGCGGTGAATAGAGGAAAGCCATTGAAATGCAGTCCTCTTTCTCCCCTTTAAATATTGGCCTTCCAATCACGTGCTTGTACTGCCCATCACTCAACATCTGAAACAAAGCAATGCAAAGCTGCTTAATTGGAGGTCAACTACAAAAAAGCAAAAGTTATCACTGTTTTATAAATTAATTTCATTTTCTTTGTTCGAATATAATGTTCAGAAACCAGAAATTGAGAGAACCTGAGTTTGGTCTCCGGCGGTGATTACAAGGGCTCCTTTTTCTGGAAAGAAAGAGAGCCAACCTTTCTTAGAGTAAACCTGAAACTCAGAAGACCCGCCACATAGATGCAAGCACAAGCAATGAGAGTATCGGTTTCCCCTCATCACCATTCTAATCACATCATAGTTTATAGAGTTAGCACATTGTCCTGACGTCTTATCAGAGCAGTGCTTATAAACAGAACAAACTGTCCCACGTTCATGCCCACCAATCATATACACAGAGTCTGCAACTTTTGGGGGAGAATCTTCGAATATCACTTGCAAAATTTTCTCGGCCACCTTCTCTATCCTGGCCACAAGATTCTCCATCTTCTTACTGAACGTTGAAGAAATTTAAAATCAGACTAATTTAAATTCACGTCTTTAGCGTCATTTGATTTAACTANATATTAAACTTCTGAATGGAAGAACAAATCACAACTTACTCATACACATAAAATTTTCAAAATCTATCTATTTCTATAATCTTGATTAAAAACTAGATGTAACGCCCGGCAACTTCTCGGAAGGTCACCCATCCCTAAATTATTCCAGATTAAACACACTTAACCATGATGTTCTTATGAGTTAGGCTACCGAAAAGCAAATGCATTTGGTGATATAAGTAGCCAAATTAATCCCTTTAAGCTATCCTTCAACTGTATAGTCTCATACCTACACAGTCTCTAGATCCCTCTCATTCCGGTGTATGTTCGATTCGTCCATGTGCCCCTTCCACTGGAAGCTTGCCAGGAACCGCTCCTTGTCTGTGTCCCTTGCACTTCATGCCTCTTGCACCGGCGTCACTTCCTGCCCTCGTCAGTGTCCAGGTGTCACACTAGATGTGTAACATTTGAGATTTAAAAGTCACGTGCAATAGTGAAAAAATTAAACTCATAATTGAATTTTCTAAATTGATTAAATGGATCTTATGTTTTAAGTAAGTTTGAGAAGGGATATAAAAAGGAAAGAGGGTATAATTAATGGATACGAAAGTGAGGCTCCCAAAAAGCTTATACAATGCATGTCGAAAGTGCTTTTGGCCAATTTTAAATTTTTACTCAAACAGATAAAGCATATATAGTTGCCAGAAACTAGCAATCATTCAGAAGACGAAGACTATTAGACTAAGCAAAACCATGTTTTTGTTATTGAATTAAGCTGCTGGACATGCAGATGGCAAATTCCAACCGAGTCGCCGCGTTCCAAATTCAGTTTAATCTAAATACGTTTCTTTTGCTTTTACAATAGTTATCCCTCTTCTTTTTCTTTTCTCTTTTAAGGCAAATTATTGGTCATAATCCATTCATCAAAAGTCGACTCTGATACAATTTAACAAAATCTCTTTGTATACTTATTCATAGTGATATGTATTATTACGATTCCAAAACGTAGAATGATATTATTAGAATTAATTATCATATATTCATATTTATTGAGTGATACTATTAAGATTAATTTCCAGATGTATTGTTCGTTTTATTATATTTTAATTTACAAGATTATTAGATGTAAAATGGTATAAACTTAAAGGATAAAATTTAATAGAATAAATAATTGATTTAATATAATAAGTATTGAAATATTTTATTCTTAGCAGAATATGAAAAATAACAGCATCTTGATAAAATAATTTTAATTTTATTATTTTTGTTGGAAATCTATTAATATTTAATTATAAAAATTAATATTAATATAAAATTAACATGAATTCTTTTAAAATTTAACTTAATTTTGAAAAATTAATTTATAAAATGAAATTTGTATTTATTTATTATGAACTAACCTTATTTCCATGGAAACGGTACTTCCCAACAATTGTTCAATTATTATATTAAGTTTAAACAAAATTAATAAAATTAAAGGCTTTTTTATAAAAAAAAAAATCACAATATTTTCTTTATTAAACAAAAACGAAACGTGTGAATATTTATTGTATTATTTCCTTCAATTGATATTTATAAACAGTATATTTTAGCATATTGAAGTTTTCTTATTAATTTACATCTTTTGTTATTTTAGAGCTTAAAATGGTAAGGGTTTAGTATGCTTTTCTTTTTGGGTTATGACAGAGGATTCATGGATCATCTGAGAATCCAGAAATAAAGGTTTGGATAACATGAAGTCTTATCCACTTGGCGGAATACATTTTTCTCAGAATCGCTTTTCTCATAAGAAAATAAAGATTATGATTCTCTTGAGAATCTAGATTAACTCTTCCTTAAGAATGTGTCTCCGTTGGTGAGTGGCAAACACACCATAATTGTTCGTAGAAAAATTAGGTTATCCAATGGGATGCTTAAAAGTGCATAATGAAGCCAACATCTACGTCTCAATATGAAATTGGAAAGAAGATGCTTATTCAGTTGCTTTGTTTTCTTCTCCAGTATTATAATTGCACTACTTTTTCACATGTGATTTCTTTTTCTGGTAACAATAATCGTGATTCATTCTTATTAACTTGTTTATCTATAATGGCAAACACAAGATTTACAGAGAAAAGCAAAGCCAAAAGGCTTCACTCTTCCATTTACTTTTTGGAAATTTATTCGTAATGAACATTTTACAACCATGATATCCATAAAAAGTAATATGTTTTCAGATGCTGTTCATCATAAAGCATTACTTTGATTAACTTTACTTAATTTTGGTTAGGATTCTGTTTTTCTTTTATCTTCCCATACATTACTCTTTTCTTTATGTTTAAAGTGTTTCTTCACGTAGTTTCTCGTTTTTCTCTTTACACTCCCACAGTTTTTTAAAATTTCAAAAATATTTCTTGCATTTCAAAACATTTTAGGTTTCACTTCTTTTCCGTTTTTATTTAAAAATTTGTTGAAGAAAAAATCTTTTAATAAATTTTAAAATTCGTTCAAAGATTTTCGAAGTTTTTAACTGATTTTGAAATTCTTTAAAAGATTTTTCAATAAATTTTGAAATTTGTTGAAGTTATTGAAAAAAGTTTTAACGAATTTTAAAATTTATTGAAGAATTTTTTTTAACAAATTTTTTAAATTCAGTCAACATTTATTAAATAATTTTTTTTTAAAACTTTAATAATTATTAAAATCTGATACTTTTAAAATGTGGAGATGCAAAATATGTGAATATCTTTTATTGGAAGCTTTATTTTATCTTCATATCTGCCTCACTGGACAGCTCCTTCATATTTCCTTTTTTTTCTAAATTATTTTCCATTAACAATGTTCTTAATTGTCTATGTTGTGCAACCTCGTTGTTTATTTTTTTCCTAAAGCATCACCGATATGATCGAACTATCGAAACATATTTTCATTGAATATCTTGATAAAATGAACTTCTGTACAATTCTGGTCTGGACTTTGTGCATGTTTGCCCAGCAGACTATGGACAGACTTCTTTGGTGCTAAAATTTTGGGTCATACAGAGTCAGTTTGAGGTTCAACTTTCTGCATTGTATAAAAATCTTCACTCATCTCCTTTCAAATCGGAATATAACAATTATATTTTGCATTCAATAACAAGGACAACATAAAGAAAATTTTAGACAAATCAGGACATGACACACAAGGGTCAAAATCATGGCCAATAGGACTTGCAAGCCCAGTGAAATAGTTCTTTCCCCACTGTTTTGAAAATTGCTCTTGTTGTTTGGCGGTGAATAGAGGAAAGCCATTGAAATGCAGTCCTCTTTCTCCCCTTTAAATATTGGCCTTCCAATCACGTGCTTGTACTGCCCATCACTCAACATCTGAAACAAAGCAATGCAAAGCTGCTTAATTGGAGGTCAACTACAAAAAAGCAAAAGTTATCACTGTTTTATAAATTAATTTCATTTTCTTTGTTCGAATATAATGTTCAGAAACCAGAAATTGAGAGAACCTGAGTTTGGTCTCCGGCGGTGATTACAAGGGCTCCTTTTTCTGGAAAGAAAGAGAGCCAACCTTTCTTAGAGTAAACCTGAAACTCAGAAGACCCGCCACATAGATGCAAGCACAAGCAATGAGAGTATCGGTTTCCCCTCATCACCATTCTAATCACATCATAGTTTATAGAGTTAGCACATTGTCCTGACGTCTTATCAGAGCAGTGCTTATAAACAGAACAAACTGTCCCACGTTCATGCCCACCAATCATCTCCACAGAGTCTGCAACTTTTGGGGGAGAATCTTCGAATATCACTTGCAAAATTTTCTCGGCCACCTTCTCTATCCTGGCCACAAGATTCTCCATCTTCTTACTGAACGTTGAAGAAATTTAAAATCAGACTAATTTAAATTCACGTCTTTAGCGTCATTTGATTTAACTAGAAAATGTCAAAACATATTTTTCAAAATTACTAGAAAATGATTGTATATGACTAATATTTCATATATTGGTAGTGAAATACCCTGCAACTTAGCTAGTAGCAACTGAAATGAAATGCATGCTAAATAAATTAATTAATTAACTAGTTTACTTGAAATTGGAATATCCGGCTGCCGAAACTTGCTGCATTCTGAGGTTGAACTCCTTATCTCTTCCCCAGACGAACTCGTCATCTTCCTCGAAACCCCACGGGCTCTCCGCCGACCTCGTCACGCCGCCTCGCTTCTCCGGCGGCACCTGGAAAATTGAGATGGAAGCTTCCGCCGGCGACGCGATCACGTCCGGTGGAATCCCATGGTTGAGCAGCTGAAAGCATCCGACAGTTGCGAAAGAGTCCGAAATGACGTGACGAAGAGCATCGTCGGAACCTAAGGAGGGGAAGTCCACCTTTGGAAGCGGCTTTTGGTGGTTGTAGTTAATGTTGGGGAGACGGAGAGAGGTCTCCAAGAATCGGCGGAAAACGTCGTCGTTGGAGAGCGATGACGTTCGCCTGGCAGTGGCCACAGGAGATGGCGGCGGGGCATGGAAATCCATTGCAGTCCGGCAGAGAAGAGAACGAATCAACTTTTTTCATTCATTTGTGAGTTGAGTGTTGTTTTTTGTTATTAAAAGAAGAGAAATAACAGTGAAGCACCATTCCTGTCTATAATCACCATGTCCCACCTTGCTTACACTTTACACTATGACAGACACGTTTCTTCAACTATAAAATTATTTATATTAGTGCTTTCGTACTTAATTAACCTTTTAATTAAAATTAATCTCCATTTAAATATAAAACTAGAACTGAAAATATCCTGGTTTCGTTGGCTTTGTTCCCCAGCTTTTTTTTTTTTTAATTTATAAACGTACTTTAATATGCGACTTTATTAGCTGGGAACTTATAATGGTAAAAATAAGAAATCTTTTCAAATAAACCTAAAAGAAATTAATTTTTTTTCTTTTTGAATGGATGTATCATCTTAAAGAAACGTATATGAAGTAAGTTTGATTTAAATTTTTCCATGGTATCGTAGAAAATATGAATGTTTTACGAAGAGTTGAGAGATAAATGGAAGAGGGGGAGGGTGCTAACTTTCTTAGGATGAGCGGCTTGAATAGCATATTCGGAGTGGCACTAGCAGTTGTCAAAAAAAATTCGTGGAAGTTCAATAGCCCAACAAAAGTAATCGGCCCAGTTTTTCAAGCCCAAATTTGAACTTCGAAACCGAAGATTAGCCCCAAGAAATAATGGGCACACTCAAGGAAGAAGCTTCCTGCATCTCCATATGTTTCTTTCTGCATCCTTAAATAAAACACTTTTTTTTTCTAAATATACTATTAAAAAATATTTTTTTGAAAAAGAAATAATTTTTTAATTACATAATTTTTAACTTTCAAATTTTATGATAAAAAAAAGAGCACGATAGAAAAAAAAATATCATGGAAATGCAGAGAAAAACATATGAAAGAGCATGAGAAACGCACCCTCAAGGAAATACACACAGTGAACCCGGGTAGGAGAGTGAAAGTAAGAATTCCATCAAATCAAACTAAATTTAAAACATTCAAAAGTCGCAAATCAGATTTAGCTTACGTTTTTAGTAAATAGTTTGGTCAATCAGCATTGAATTTAAGTTAATATTAATTTTCCAATATTCAATTGTATAATCGATTGAAAACTAGTTCAAAAATCGATTTTAAATTTTTCCACCAACAGGTTTTGTAAATGAGAATAGTGAAATTTCAAATTTCAATTCGTAAAATTTGTTTCAAATTATATTTTTTTTCCTTGACAAATACAATCAATATAATTCAATCCTATGAAATATTGTTTTAAAAAATGTTTTTCATCTATTTATATAATATAATTTATTCATATATTATAATTTCTTCATGAATAAATCAAACTATAGACGTTTTTCTAGGAAATTAGAAATGAAAATGAAATTGATTTTAAAGAAACTGAAAAGGAAATTCGTATTCTTTCAGAGATATTAAATATAAAAAAATGAAATAAGGTGTCATAAAGTTGAATAAAGATTATACCAAATCAATTATATAGTATAAATTCAATGCCCACAAGAAGCACAAACACAGAAAAGCTGTTCCATAGATTTTATTTCAAACCATAACCTTGGTTTTGGAGAAAAAATGTATAACTTTTGACTAAATGGTTGTGAAGCATTATGAAATAGTAGAACGTGGAAGTTGAATGTTATTAGTCATAAATTGGAAAAACAATGCCTCTTTACTTTAGTTTGTCTATCATTCCATTAAGCATTTCCATGTCAAGTGACTTCCACAGTTGAAGAAAATTATTATTAAAACTATTTAATTTACTTTTTGCGATCTCATTTACATATGACATGCTAATATTCATATAAAAAAATGTTTAGAACCCAAACTAACTAATAAATCAAATCTATGAATGAAGTGGAAAATTCTTACTATGAGTCCAAAGTAACATTTAACATTTTTAATAGTATATGCACTATTATCCACCCGATTATAAATTGATTTCTTGTTATATTTAACTTTTTTGAAAATGATAAAAGAAGAAGATAAATTACTAAAAAATTCTTTGCTAGTCATATAATCAATTAATAGACATCATTGTACAAATAAGATATCCAACCAAAAATTTCAAATCAGATTGATGTAACGGCTTCTAGAAACAAAGAAGAAAACATTCACATTAGTTATACGTGCATCACTTATTTATCTACTTGGAAAATAGTATTGACAAAAAATATCTTCTTAAAACTAGTTAACTGAGAAAAATAATATGATTGGAAAAACAATTATTACTACGTGAAATTCAAATATAAATAAGTAATTTTTTTTAAAAGCGAGTATAGATTTAAGTGAGTATTATTTTTTATTGTGATAAGAAGATTTTTTCTAGGATTAAATTATGATGTAAATATTTCTATATTGTATGATTATCTGGTTAACTCGGAATTCATTTAAACGATTAATTATAGGACGAAATCAATGGCATTTCATTTTTATGTTAATGTGGTAACATCTTAGAAATTATGTCATTTGTAAGAATATTAATCTTAATATTAATTAATTTAAAAAAATATAATTATCATCAGTTGGGTAATGATTAAATTGTCACCAATTAAAGATACAATTCAATATTTATAAATATAAGTTTAAGATAAAAAGATAAATTAATTGTTTAAATTTCTAAATTTTTACAGTAATTTCCTAAACTATCAAAGGGTTTTATTAGTTAAGAACAAAATTGGGAGTTAGACATTATTCCTATATCATTAAATTTGATTTCACATCGGAAACCATATCTATTAGAAAGAATTTTATATATATATATATATGAAATGTTGTGTTGTGTGCCAGCATATCGGGTAAAAGACAGATGAAAGCGTGTGAGTGATGAATCATGAGTCGTAGAACTGCATATCACAACGTACATACATATAGATACAAATTAACATTATAATAATTAATATTATAAAGGTAACATAATAGAGTTCTACCATTCTTATATTTCCATGTTATTTAATCTCCCGTAACAATTGTAAGCAAACACTAACAATGGGATTAGCTTTCTTTAATAGTGTTTTGGTGTACATGTTATAGTTTTAACATTTTCTATTTTTTTTTCATTATTTCATTTTTTAAATTTCATGGTTTAAAAAAAAAGAACTATCTAATAAATGGTATTGATGAAAAACCGAAAACTATCAATAAGAATTAAAATATTTTGATGATTATTTTTCATTATAATAATATTCATAGTAAGTTTTTCGAACATAATAAAATAAAATTTACACCGTCAATGGTTGATTTTGATTGACACGGTCTAAAGAGGGTGACAACCAAGTCAATCCCCTTAAATTAAACACCTTTTTTTTGTCTTTTCATTAAAAAAAATTAACTTAAAGAATAAAACATAAGTTAAAGTGTAGGCAAACTCTATGTTGATAATTTAAAATGATAAATCCAAATTTATTTTCGATTAGTCTAATTAGAATGTATTGAGTTAGTGAGTTCTCAGCTTCATTGACTCGACCTAACTATATATTATATTATATAAAAAAAATATTATCGAAACATGTACTTTCTCTTACGATGGGTGAATTTATATAGTTGGACTATATTTTAAATAATTAACAGTTTGAAGATTCTAAGATAAAATCATTCCTGCTTTATGATTGCTTTTCTAATTTTTAATACATATAATTATTTTAATAACTTAACCCCACTATTTAATTAAAAAAAGTTAATTAAAATTGGATTTGATGTATGAATAATTCTTTACGTATAATATAAATATTTATCAACACTCGTGAATGTTGTTTCTATTTATCTTTTTATTATCATATGTTTATCTCTGTAGATACCATATAGTATATAGTCTCTGTATTATTTTCCTTTAGAAACAACATTAATTCCAGTGGTCAACTGGTTAAATTTCTTTGTCGGGTAACAATAGGTCTCCTAGTAAAGAAAAACAACATAGGCATAAAAATTATTAGGATAATTTTATGTAATTATAAGTAATGCAATAACGTTTATTGATATATTTTCAAATGACATTTGAATCCATCAAAGTAACACTATTTTTATCTAAAAACATTAAAAATAAACTTAAACTCATACTTAAATTTTGAAAAAAATACTTTAAAAAATGAGTGCTTAGGATTGATGTTAATGTAATTTTCTTTTTATATGGGTTTAGCTGTCTGCAGAGAAAATCCGAAAACGGCATAATAACTTAGTCAAACTTTAGGTTCCGTGAAGATAAACTCAAACTTCATTGTGAATAATTTTCTATTGCATAAAAAAATGTTAATTGACACAAGGCAGTGAATCTTTCAGAAGTAATACTTTATATATTGAATAGTTCAGTTTATAGAATTAATCGATTTTTTTCCTGACCAGGTCCTCAAAGGCCATTCAGAGTCTTAAACAGATGTCAAATTACGAGAAAATCGTTCGTTCCATTACTTATCTTCATAATAATTTTTTATATCATGTTTTCTTATCTAATATTCATCTCAATAATCTTGCTGCATTTTATTCTTGATAGGATTATACTTGACCAAGTTATTAGTCATGTTTCATGACGCTTTATTTTTTGCTACAAATTACATATACTAACTTTTTATTTTTTATTTTCAAAGATAGATTAATATTTATAAGATAATGATATTTGACAACATTTTAACATCATTTACGTGTCATTTTATAATTGATCCAAAATTACTTCACAATTAATAATAATAATCATAAATACTAATACAAATCAATCACATAACATACGTAATCTTAAAAATGTGTTATAAAAAAATGTTAGTGAGAAATATCATTATAATTATAAAGTGCATCAATAATGTGATTAATTAATTGGAAGAATATTTTCCAATATTTTTCATAGTAACGAATATTTTCCGTACAAAAACAGTGTGGGGATATACTGTTCACTGTTCAACGTTCATGTTTGGATGATCCGTCTTTCTTGCATTTAGCACACTACACACATAATAAGTCGTTAATTAATTATTCATCAAGTGTTTCATTTGAATAAAGGATTAAGACAAACGACAATTCTGCCACCGAACCAATCTCTCTCTTGGTCTTCTCTCTCCATTCTCTCACTCATCTATCACATATACATCTATATATGCATAATATTCTTTCCA